ATATATATGTATATATAAACTTGTATATGTACAAGTAGCGATCTGACAGGCGCGTTGATATAGGAGGGTGGCTATACAGGAACTTGCATGACAAGGCAATGTGTATGTATAAGACGTCTTTCTGTGTGCCACTAATTAACAGATTTGAGTGTACTACTTGTAATCATTGTTTGAGCAGTGCTATCTCGCCTCACTCGAACGCGCAAGCACACACGCACAAACGCACAACCAAGCGCATGAGAAAGAGAGGTTAGTATATACACATACCTTCAGTGTTATCTCCACCTGGAACACGCCCTGCGGCACACACTTTAGCATGATCAGCACAGACTCTGTAGCACTGGTGTGGCGCACCTCACCGATCACCTGCAGCAACACAGTGTCAAACGGGCGAGTGACACCGTGTCAGTGTCAGAAGAATCAGGTGTCAATGGCCAGAAGACATAGGCAACAGACGCACTTGGAAAACAAGGCCAGATTCAATCGTAGGTTTGGAGTATTTAGGGGACTTCGGTCACACAATGGTCGCAGTTCGAACTACCAGAGAGAGTGTGGGTGGGCGTTTCCATATTCTTGTATAGAGTTTAAAATGTGATCACAGTCTCCTCTCACACATGCGGAGCCTACGACACTGCAACGTGCCCCTCTAATAGGCTTAATAGAACAAGCAGAGAATTCATTGGATGTCGATACGCACTCGAATGAGTCAGATACACGTACCCTAATCGCGCAATACAATCAACACACCCGATGGCTCATGCAGACCAGAAGTATGAACCACGGTCTGATAATTCGGTTTACTGGCTAAGTTAAGTAGCATACCCCGTCGGATACTAAACTACGCATTCACAGAGATATATGCTACACACACATCACATCCATAGCCACGTACCTGCGGTTTTGCTATCCTGTGGACATAGGCTGAGAACATGGCCATTCAAATACACATTCGCATGGATTATGCTACACACACATCACATCTATAGCCACTTGCCTGTAGTTTGGCTGTCCTGCTGAGATAGGCCGAGTATTCGGTGAGGAATTGCAGTCGCACGTCGCGATGTGCAGATCCGCTCTTGCCTACGGATTGGCGATTATGCGAGGACGTGCCCACCTTAAGTGTCGCCGGGGGATTGTCAGTGTCAGAAATGTGTCATTGGTCTTGTTATGTGCATGTAAGAAAGGTTTTTTAATACGCCTTTGGGTGGGTCATGGGTGGATGTATATACAAACAGGCGTACGTGAGAGAAGAAAAGGTGGTGTCAGAGATGATATGATTAATCCGTGTCGGTAAAGTATTGATAGGTAGGCCAAAGGTAAGAAGCAAAATCCGCCAACAAATGGAAACCAGGCATGGTTGAAAAGACATTAAGTGAGATATACATACACGCACACACTCAATATCTGTATCAAATATACATGGTCATCCCACTTCACATATAAACGCAT